CGACGACTCGGGGGTACGACCCGAGAATCGAGCGACCCTTTGCCGGAGTGACCTTCGCTGCGTGGCCTTTGGGGAGCGCGGGGGGGCGCGAACCCAAGCACGCCAGCCACCATTGTCGCATCGCGCGGCATTGTCGGCAAGCCACGCACCGAACCCAGGTGAACAAACAATGACATAAAAGCATAAATCTTCGGAGGTCCCAGGGGGCCCCAGCGCCGATCCAGGAAATCTGCGCGGACCTCAAAGTTTCTATGTTTATGTCATTGCCTATTCCCCTCAAAACCGCACACTTGCAAAGTTCTTGCCGTCGGCGACGTATGGCTGCCTTCTTCGCCCTCCCCCCTCGAGGAGGGAGGTCCTGAGGGTTTCCGTGGTTCGGCCGGTTCGGCAGCGTCACGGTCGGTTGCGTTGGCTCGGCCAGGTTCTGCTGGCCGTTGTGTCGCTTCTGCGTCGTTGCGCCGCTTTTGGACGATAGCGGCCCGTCGGTTTAGAGGTCGGCTTCTGTGTCGCTCGTCGGTGGCCACATCATGGGAACCCTGCCCCCCCTCCCCCACCCACGCCCGATTTTTGAAGCGGGGGGTAGGGGCTCGCGTCGCTCGGGGGTTCCCGGTCGTGCGCTTCCCAAGGGAGCGCGGGGGGGGCGCACAGATCTCTGGGCATCGCTCGAACGTGTGTATACATATAACGGCGCACCGGGTCCGGGGGCCCGGGGCCGGGACCTCGACCACAAATGTGCGCCCCGGAGGCCTCCCCAGTCAGACAAGACGGCCCCAGGAGCGCCCAAGACGGCCCAAGAAATTTCCAAGAGGCCTCCAAGAGGGCTCCGAGATGCTGCAGATGGCCTCCAGATGTCCAAGGACGCCCCCAAGAGGCCCCAAGAAGCCTCCAACATGCGTCCCAAGAGGGCCCCTAGACGCAAAAGTTGGCCCATTCCTTTCGTAAAACGTACATTTTTCAACAAAGTTGCTTTTTGGGCTTTCCGACGTTACAGGACGGCCCACGAGGCGCCCAAGACCGCCCCAAGACGGCCCAAGAAGCCCCCAGGACAGCCCAAGAGGGCCCCAAGACGGCCCAAGAGGCGCCCAAGATGGCCCAAGAGGGCCCCAAGACGGGCCCAAGAGGGAGCCCAGAGGGGGACCACGAACCGCAAGCTCGAGCCTTCCGCCCCAAGAGGCCGCCAGGAGGCCCCCAGGAGGCCCCTCAAGAGGCCCCAGGAGACCCCAGACGTCCAAGGACGCCCCCAAGACGCCCCAAGAAGCCTCCAACATGCGTCCCAAGAGGGCCCCTAGACGCAAAAGTTGGCCCATTCCCTTCGTAAAACGTACATTTTCAACAAAGTCGCCTTTTGGGCTTTCCGACGTTACAGGACGGCCCAAGAGGCGCCCAAGACCGCCCCAAGACGGCCCAAGAAGCTTCCAAGAGGGCCCCAGGACAGCCCAAGAGGGCCCCAAGACGGCCCAAGAGGCGCCCAAGATGGCCCAAGAGGGCCCCAAGACGGGCCCAAGAGGGGGCCCAGAGGGGGACCACGAACCGCAAGCTCGAGCCTTCCGCCCCAAGAGGCCGCCAGGAGGCCCCCAGGAGGCCCCTCAAGAGGCCCCAGGAGACCCCAGACGTCCAAGGACGCCCCCAAGAGGCCCCAAGAAGCCTCCAACATGCGGCCCAAGAGGGCCCCTAGACGCAAAAGTTGGCCCATTCCCTTCGTAAAACGTACATTTTCAACAAAGTTGTCTTTTGGGATTTCCGACGTTACAGGACGGCCCAAGAGGCGCCCAAGACCGCCCCAAGACGGCCCAAGAAGCTTCCAAGAGGGCCCCAGGACAGCCCAAGAGGGCCCCAAGACGGCCCAAGAGGCGCCCAAGATGGCCCAAGAGGGCCCCAAGACGGGCCCAAGAGGGGGCCCAGAGGGGGACCACGAACCGCAAGCTCGAGCCTTCCGCCCCAAGAGGCCGCCAGGAGGCCCCCAGGAGGCCCCTCAAGAGGCCCCAGGAGACCCCAGACGTCCAAGGACGCCCCCAAGAGGCCCCAAGAAGCCTCCAACATGCGTCCCAAGAGGGCCCCCAGACGCAAAAATTGGCCCATTCCCTTCGTAAAACGTACATTTTCAACAAAGTTGTCTTTTGGGCTTTCCGACGTTACAGGACGGCCCAAGAGGCGCCCAAGACCGCCCCAAGACGGCCCAAGAAGCTTCCAAGAGGGCCCCAGGACAGCCCAAGAGGGCCCCAAGACGGCCCAAGAGGCGCCCAAGATGGCCCAAGAGGGCCCCAAGACGGGCCCAAGAGGGGGCCCAGAGGGGGACCACGAACCGCAAGCTCGAGCCTTCCGCCCCAAGAGGCCGCCAGGAGGCCCCCAGGAGGCCCCTCAAGAGGCCCCAGGAGACCCCAGACGTCCAAGGACGCCCCAACGACGCTTCGCGTCACCAATTTCTTCTCACAACGATTCCTGGGTCTGTGACTCGACAGAACCTAAGCGCGCGCGAAGCGCGCGCGTGGTTCTAGTGTGTGTGTGTGTGTGTGTGACTCTGACTCTGTGACTGTGACTCTGACTCTGTGACTGTGTGGGTGTGCGTGTGCGTGTGCGTGTGTGTCTGTGTCTGTGTCTGTGTCTGTGTCTGTGTCTGTGTCTGTGTGTGTCTCTGTGTGCGTCTGTGTGTGTGTGTCTGTGTGTGTGTCTGTGTGTGTGTCTGTGTGTGTGTCTGTGTGTGTGTGTCTGTGTGTGTGCGTGTGTGTGTGTGTGTGCGCGCGTGTGTGCGTGTGTGCGTGTGTGCGTGTGTGTGTTTGTGTTGATGTGTGTGTGTGTGTGCGTGTGTGCGTGTGTGCGTGTGTGTGTGTGTCGTGTGTGCGTGCGTGCGTGCGTGCGCGTGGGCGTGCGCGTGCGCGTGCGCGTGCGCGTGCGCGTGCGCGTGCGCGTGCGCGTGCGCGTGGTGCGCGCGCGCGCGCGCGTGCGCGTGCGCGTGCGCGTGCGCGTGCGCGTGCGCGTGCGTGTGCGTGTGCGTTGCGCGTGTGCGCGTGCGCGTGCGCGTGCGCGTGCGTGCGTGTGTGTGTGTGTGTGTGTGGGTGGGTGCGGGTGTGTGTGTGTGTGTGTGCGTGCGTGCGTGCGTGCGTGTGTGTGTGTGTGTGTGTGTGTGTGTGTGTGTTGTGTGTGTGTGTGTGTGCGCGTGCGCGCGCGTGCACGTGCGCGTGCGCGTGCGTGTGCGCGTGCGCGTGCGTGTGCGTGTGCGCGTTGCGCGTGCGCGTGCGCGTGTGCGTGTGCAGTGCGTGTGTGTGTATGTGTGTGTGTGTGTGTGTGTGTGTGTGTGTGTGTGTGTGTGTGTGTGTGTGTGTGTGTGTGTGTGTGTGTGTGTGTGTGTGTGTGTGTGTGTGTGTGTGTGTGTGTGTGTGTGTGTGTGTGTGTGTGTGTGTGTGTGTGTTTCTCGTCGAGGGCCATCGAGGAGCAGCTGGGCTCCTTCTCGCGAAGACAACACTGCGCGCGCGGAGCCGAAACAAACGTGCACGGGGCGTGGCCGTCCGAGCGCTGGCAAGTCCTCCTCTGTCGTCATGCGCCCCCATCCCCTTTTTGCTTCTGCTCTTCGCGCTTCTGAGAGGCATGACGCGTCTGGCGCGACCGTGCCCTGCTGCTCTGCCAATCTCGGGCGACCGCAAGCATGGATCAATGGGGGCGTGGATCAGCGACGGGTCCCCTTTCCATGGGGGAATCGCGGATCGTCGCCGCCGAGCGAGGCGGCACCGGCCGCCTTTTGGGGAGGGCACCTCCCCCGGTCCATGGATTCGGCGACCGCGCGCCAGATCCATAGATCGATGTTTGCGCGCCCCCGATTCTTGTGCGCCCCCTATTCCCTTCTTGCTTCTGCTCGTCGCGCTCCTGAGAGGCATGACGCTTCTGGCGCGATCGTGGCCAGGACGCGGGCTGCAGATGGGCAGAGGGCAGAGACGTACGCCCAGGGCTGGTCTCGTTCGTTTGCTGCTGCTGCTCCTCCTGGCAGGGGCACTGATGCCGATCAGTGTTGCCGCTACCCTTAAGTCGGGCGTGTCCCTCTACAGGAGGAAATTCAAAAATCATCAAAAATAGTCTGGGACTATGTTGGGACTAGGTTTTCCTCAAAATTCCGCCTGTAGGGGGAAACGCCCGACCTAACCATAGTTGCTGCTGCACATCCTTCTGACAGGTTTTTTGCTGCTGCCAATCAGTCACCGCTACTGCTCCTTCAGAGGTTCAGTGCTGCTGCAAACTACGGTCAGAACTCGTAGTGAGGACGCGCGGATGTGCTGAGGGTACCCTTTCTTCCTTGCCCTTGCGGCCCGTCCTTCGCGGTGTTCGCTGGCCAGCCCTTCAGGGTGTTGGGAGTCCGACGCCCAAAAAGGGCCACCTTCGGCGTCCAAGGCCCTTGCGTCCTCACCGCCCGTCCGTACTATAGCTTTCGACTGTACTGGTGCCGCTCCTCTGCCTAGGTCCACTTCGTCCGGCACGGCCAGGGCTTCCACAACCTTCTCGGCGCAGAAAAGTGCGCCCGCCACTCCCTCCACGCCCTGAAGCCCCTGCCTCCCACCCCCTTATCGGGTGTTGCTTGAAGTGCCCCTGGCCCAAGGTACCCCCAGCTTTTCGCTTCATGTTGGAGCCCCTGGGGCCCTCGGGGCCTCGTGAGGGGTGCCCTGGAGGCCATCTGGGCCACCCCGAGAACCCTGGGGGTACCTTGGGCCAGGGGTACTTCTAGCAACACCCGACCCTAGTTCGGAGGCAACGCCCGGGAGCTTTTCATTCGAGCGATTAATGGCGAGTCAGCCCAATTGAGGTCCCATTTCACGAGATCAGGCCAGATTAGGCCCAGGAGTTAAGCCGATCAGGCGGAATTTGGCCGAGTTAGGCCGGATCAGCCCAGATTGAGCCGTTCATCGATTGCGAAAATGCCAGCGCCGATGCAGAATTCAATTTCCCAGGAGTTGCATCCTAGGGACCCCCCCCTTTTCCAGTGGGGCGGGGCGGTGTTGCACCTTTCTGCTCCGAAGCCCTCTTGCGGACCTCTACCTCGCGGCCGGCAAGAAGTGGGACTCGGAGTCCGGAGCCGGGGGCGAGGACCGCCATGAAGCGAACGAGTCTTGCGGGAATCAGGTCCCAAAGTTTTTCACTCTTTCGGCCTCCCGGGGCCCTCCAGAAGGGCCGTGGGACTAGATTGCATGAGCACGACGCAGGACGAAAAGCTGCTCCCTGGAGAATCGACACACAACAAAATACTCAAACATAGTTTCTCTAAGGAATCCGTGCGGACCACCGAGAAGATAGCGATCGTTTTCTTATCCGTAAGGGCTTCGCCCCCTGCCGTCGGCCCCCTCTCTCGGAGAGTGGGCCATGGAAGAGCGAAGTCATGAGGCTTTGGCTTCGCCGTGAAGCAGTGTCGGGACCTGTTTGTTTGTCGACCCTGAGCCTACGGATCTGCGTGAGGGGTGCCGCCGAATTTCAGAAATGTAGCAAATCCCTTGTGTTTTTGGACCCTGGCCCTGCCGATCTGCGTGAGGGGTGCCGCCGAATTTCAGAAATGTGGCAAATTCCTCATGTTTGTGGACCCTGACCCTGCCGATCTGCGTGAGGGGTGCACTGAATTTACGAAATGTGGCTAATTCTTTATATTTTTGCACCCTGACCCCGCCGATCTGCGTGAGGAGTGCCACCGAATTTCAACAATGTGGCCAATTCCTGTGTTTTTGCAGCCTGACCCCGCCGATCTGCCTGAGAGGTGCCACCGAATTTCAGAAATGTCGTAAATCCCTTGTGCTTTGGGACCCTAGCCCTGCCGATCCGCGTGAGGGGTGCCACCGAATTTCAACAATGTGGGAAATGCCATGTGTTTTTGCACCCTGACCCCGCCGATCTGCGTGATGGGTGCGAGGAAATCATAGAAATCTGTGGCAAATCCCCTCTGTGTTTGGACCCTGACCCCGCCGATCTGCGTGAGAGATGCCACCGAATTGCGAGGGGTGCCACCGAATTTCAGAATAGTGGCAAATCCGCTGTGTTTTTGGATCCTGGCCCTGCCGATCTGCGTGAGGGGTGCCACCGAATTTCAGAAATGTGGCAGAATCCTTGTGTGTGTTTGGACCCTGACCCCGCCGATCTGCGTGAGGGATGTCAATTTGCACCCACCCCAGCAATTCAGACAATACGATTTCTCCATGGTAAAAACCCGTTTTGGGCCTCCCCCACTCGCGCGGTCCATCAACAAGGAGCAGTAAGCAGCAAGAAGTCAACAAGGAACAGTAAGCAGCAAGAGGCAGAACTGTAACAGTGGACATTGGAAGCTGCAACTGGTACAGAAAACTGCGAAGCTTAGGCCTACAGCCTGGTGGCCCCACAAGGGGGCCGGCGGATTCCTTGTTTTGCCGATCGGCGCGGGCCCTCGCACCCTCCCTCCCCCCCATGGGGTGGATTTTGCCTGTCTTTGGCTCCTGCTTCAAGCCGGGGTCCCTCCCACTTAGTGGACGCACTGCTGCAAGCAGTCGCATGAAGCAGAGGTCCGGAGCCAAACCCTCCTCCCCATCCCTCCCCCCCCTGTCCGCCCAATTGCCGAAACGCCGAAGAAGAGAACGATCGCAGACGCTCTGCCGTTCTTTCTGTTCCCCCGTCTGCCCAGTGTCGAGGCGCCGCATAAGAGAACGTTCGCACACGCTTCTGCCATGTGTTCTGCCCCCCCTGGGGGGGAGGCCCAAAGAGGGGCCTAGGGCCTGCGTCCCTCGGGGCCCGCCATACCTGGTGGACCTGGAAGGAAGGGGGCAGCTGGAAGGGGGTGGTGCAGCTGCAAGGGGATGGTACAATGAGGAGGAGGAGGAGGAAGAAGAGGAGGAGGAAGAGGAGGAGGTTGAAGGGGAGGAGGGGGAGGAGGAGGAGGAGGAGGAGGAGGATGAGGAGGAGGAGGAGGAGGAGGAGCAGGAGGAGGAGGAGGCGGAGGAGGAGGAGAAGGAGAAGGAGGAGGAAGAAGGGGAGATGAGGAGGAGGAGGAGGAAAAGGAGGAGGAGGAGGAGGATCCAGGAGGCGGAGGAGGCGGAGGAGAAGGAGGAGGAAGGGGATGATGATGATGATGATGATGATGATGATGATGATGATGATGACGATGAAGATGATGATGATGACGATGAAGATGATGATGATGATGATGATGATGATGATGATGATGATGATGATGATGATGATGATGATGATGATGATGATTGATGTGGTGTGGTGGTGGTGGTGGTGGTGGTGGTGGTGGTGGTGTGGTGATGGTGATGGTGATGGTGATGGTGATGGTGATGGTGATGGGATGGTGATGGTGAGGATGAGGATGAGGATGAGGAGATGAGAAGAGGAGGAGGAGGACGAGGGGGACAAGGAGGACAAGGAGGACAAGGAGGAGGAGGAAGAGGAGGAGGAGGAGGAGGAGGAGGAGAGAGGAGGAGGAGGAGGAGGCGGAGGAGGGAGGGGGAGGAGGAGGAGGAGGAAGAGGAGGAGGAGGAGGAGGAGGAGGAGGAGGAGGAGGAGGCGGGGAGGAGGAGGAGGAGAAGGATGAGGAAGGGGAGGAGGAGGAGGGGGAGGAGGAGGAGGAGGAGGAGGAGGAGGAGGAGGAGGAGGAGGAAGGCAGGAGGAGGAGGAAGGGTAGGGGAGGAGAGGAGGAGGAGGAGGGAGGAGGAGGAGGAGAAGGAGGAGGAGGAGGAGGGGGAGGGGAGGAGGGGAGGAGGAGGAGGAGGAGGAGGAATAGAAAGAGGGTGAAGGAGAGGAGGGGGGGGAGGAGGAGGAGGAGGAGGAGGAGGAGGAGGAGGAGGAGGAGGAGGAGGGAGGGAGGAGGAGGGGAGGGGGAGGGAGGAGGAGGGGAGGACGAGGAGGAGGGAGGGAGGAGGAAGAAAAAGAAGAGGAGGAGGAGGAGGAAGCGGAGGAGGAGGAGGAGGAGGAGGAGGAGGAGGAGGGAGGAGGAGGCGGAGGAGGAGGAGGAGGAGAAGGATGAGGAGGAGGAGGAGGAAGAGGCGGAGGACTCGCACCTTCGTCGACACAAGCAGGTCGCGCCAGGAGTTCCCCACCGCTCGGGGCGTGCGACACGTTCCGTTGCGCACATGTCTTGCGCACATGTCCAGCACACGTGTTGCGATATAATATGGCCAGGCATGTTTGCAACACAAGTGCCGCAGATCTATAGCACCGCACCCTTTCAGCTGGACCTCTTTGGGGAGAACCAAACGACACACAACAAAAATACTCAAGCATGGTTTCTCAAATGTTTGCGTTGGTTTCTTGGATCGGTGCTCGGCCCCCCTGGCGGCGCCTCCAGCGCCGTCCCGCTAAGTTCCCTGAAAAGCCCTCTGGGGCCCCAAAGGTGCCCTCGAGGGCCCGAAAAGGAGCCTTTGAGGTCCCGAACGAGCACCTTGTAGGATCCCCTTTGGGGTTAACCAACATAAAATGCTTGCGGAGGAGGAGGGGGCAGGAAGGAGCAGGAGGGAAGGGGAGGGAGCAGGAGGGAGCAGGAGGGAGCAGGAGGGAGCAGGAGGGAGAAGGAGGGAGGAGGAGGGAGGAGGTGGGAGGAGGGGGGAGGAGGAGGGAGGAGGAGGGAGGAAGTAGGGAGGAGGGAGGGAGGAGGAGGGAGGAGGAGAGACCCTGCCGCGAGGACAACCCCTACTGCCGCCCGGAGGTGCTGGACCCGCCGCTGACGGAGGTGGGCCGCGGCCAGGCGCGCCAGCTGCAGGCCGCGGCGCAGGGCCTCTCGCCTGGGCTGGTCGTGGTGTCGCCCCACGTGCGGGCCACGCAGACCGCCCTGAGCTCCGAGGAGGGAAGAGCGGCGCAGGCACAGCCTCTCGAGGGCCTCGGAGGAGCTCGGTAGAGCGTGTTGTTTGGGGCATAATGGGCCTTGTAGCCCCTGGCCCCCCCCTTCCCCCCCCCCTCCTAGAGTCAAAGTGTATATGCAGCGTCCCCCTCTGAGCCTCTCCGTTCCGTGGCCGCTTGTGCTCAAGGCGGCCAGACAGTTCTTTCTTTGCTTGTACTGATGATGAGATTGGCGCCGCTGCGCCCGCTGGACAAGGTTGTCTTCCTTGTCTGTGCTGCGTGGCTGACGCCGGTCCGCTCATTCGACCTTGGTAGTGGAGCCTCGGTCCGTCGGCCGGGGCTCCACTGTGCGCTTCGCTGTTGGACGCCAGGTTCCGGCTCGACCACTTCGACGCTGGGTCTTTCTCTTCCCTTTCACGATCGCCGAGGACGCGGCTGTGAGGTGCGAGGCTCTATCTTTGAGATCTGCACGATGGCTGACACTCTCACTTATGCTGACCAGGCGCAGATCATGGCCTCTATGAAAATACCACCGGCATGGTCGCCCGAATGGAGTTCGCGCTATCCTTTCCGACGATGGCTCAGAGATGTTACGCTGTGGAGTATAGCAACGGAGGTCCCAGAAACTGCTCAGGGTGCTGCTGTGGTGTTGCGTCTTGGAGGTGCCGCGAGAGAGTTCGCAGATGAGTTGGATGCGCAGATTCTACAGCAGGGGCAGGTACTGGACTTACAGGATGGACTAGGGCCCCGCCAGGTGACTGGCCTGGCTGTATTGCTACGGGCCCTTGCTCGCAACTATGCTCTGGAAGCTGGAGAGGATGCGATCAGGGCCATGGCGGAGATGATGGCGTTCTCGGTTCAACAGTACGAGACCATCGACGTGGTTCTGAATAGATTCCAGGTGCTCAAGTCTCGTGCGATCGATCATGGATTGAATCCTGGACCCGCTGGCTGGGCCTGGATGCTCATGACGGGCTTGCGAGTGCAACCAGATGAGTGGCTACACTTACTTGGTATGTTCGACAACAGGTTGCCTCAAGATGAAGAAGAGTTCAGTCGCTTGCTCCAAAGTGTACGTCGTCGTGGTCACGTCCTTATGCAGGATGGCATTATGAGAGCGGCTGAGAGGGCAGTGCGTATTCCAGGTGCAATGGCTCATCCAGCGCATGCCGGCCTTGGCAAAGGCAGACATTTCATGACAAAGGATGTGGGCCAGGGTTTCTTCCCGACGTTTGGCGAGGTTAACCAGTGGGGAGGTTTCTTTCCGCTTCAGCGGCACCGCCGCCTGCGTCGTGGTCATCGTCGGGCGCGGCAGCTGCTGCATCGGCTGGAGTTCAGAATGTGTATTTTGACGACGACAACGCTTCGACTAGTGGCACTGACTACTTCGATGAAGGCCCGCGGGATCTGGCCGCCTACCTTGCCGACGTGGATCCAGAGATGCACGGCGATGTGCTGCGTCATGAATATATCATGTCAAGACGACGTTGGCGGCAGTTCAGTGGGCGACCCTCTCGACTCCATCGTCGCCATGGTCGCAAGGGTTCCAAGTGTGGTGGCAAGAATCGTGGTCGCGGTCTGCTTGGTAAGGGTTTCCACTACGAGCATGATCCGACCGCTGCTGGTGCAGCTTCCTCCGTGCCGGGTGCTGCTCCAGGTTTCGCGGGTGCGGCATACCAGACAGGTAAGAAAGGAAGAAAGGGTTTCGGCGGTGGTGGAGGAGCTGGTGCAGGCAAAGGTAATCCCCGCGATGCTCAGGGTAATGTTCTTCGTTGTCATGCGTGCAATAGCGACCGGCGCCTTGCCAGAGAGGCGCTCGCACTTTCGTCACTCATGAAGACGGTCGCGGCTACGACGGTGGCGGAGGTGGATACGGCGGGGCCCCCAATGGCAGCGCTGGTGGAGGCTGGTTCGCTACGGCGGTTGACGTGCACAAGCACGGTCAGCTCGCGCTGGAGGATGAGACGTTCGATGGCTACGAGGACTACTCTGATGACTGGTGCGATTACGACGGGGATGATGATTGCTACGACGACGAAGGTTTGCCCAAGGGCAAGAACCGCAAGGGCATGGGCAAACGGGACACAGGCAAGGGCCTAGATCGACAGCGCGGTGGATCTCATGCTCAGACTATGCAGCTGAGCAGCATATTGAGTTCGAAGATTGACAAGCGCAAGATCCAGGCTGACGAGGAGGCCGCCCTGATTGTCAAGCGCGCAGCTGCAGTGGCTACGCCTAAGGCATTCACGCCGCCGCCGCCGCACCAACCTCCAGAACTGGGAGCAGCGGCGCCGATCGCACCTCCTCCTGCTCGTGATTCGTCGGCGCCGGTGGCGGCCAGTGCTGCAGCTGTCGTTTCGCCTTTCTTGCATAGGACTACGGGCAGCAAAGGTTTGTTCTTCCCGACTCAGGAGCGTAGCCGTTCGCTCGCTCGACAGCGTCTTGGAGCCTGGCATGCTCGCACACGGCTGCCTGATGGCCGCGAGGCCTTGCTGGTGGACCCAGGGGCTCACGACAACCTGACAGGCAGCGGTTCAAGCGCGTTTCTGATATTTGGGCTCGCCGCGGTGTCGAGGTCGAGTTCAAGAAGATGGATGGGCCGATTGGAGTGGAGGGTGTTGGCAACAATGCTGATGCCTGTATCAATCGAGGTCGGGTTCCTCTTGCGCTTGCTGGCGGTGAAGAAGGTAGCTACGACGCTCCCATTGTACCGAACTCTTCAGTGCCGGCTTTGCTGGGTAACAAGGCCCTGCGTCGCAATCGAGCCACTGTGGACTGCTTCAACGGCATCTTGTACTTCATCGGCCCTGGTGACCACCAGCTTCTGCCCCCTCCAGGCTCAAAGGAATCTCAGCTGGAGCTTTCGCAGTCAGGTCATTGGATGCTGCCAGTGACGGAGTTCGAGGACCAGAACATCGGCCAGGTCAGCGCGAGCTCCAGGCTTGCTGACAACGCTGGTCTTCATCTACTCCATTCATCCACCTCCTGACGGGGCGGCAGCGCGACCTCGAGCGCCGCAGACTCGGCACGGTGTTCGGATTCAGGTCGCGCAGCTGAAGTATTGCCGAGCAGAACTGGTACTCTTCCGACCTTGAGTGCAGCCGCCCTCGTCAGTGGGTTACTTCGTGCGCTCCCTCCTCATTCTAGTCCAACGGCTAAGGCCGAAGTTGCACAATACCAGGTTGGGTCTGCGGATGCGGTCCGCAGTGATGGCGAGCCTGCTGAGTCTGAGCTTTCAACCTCGACTTCGGCGGCCTGGTCACGAGGTGTTCCTGGAGTCCGTGAGCTTCCGTCCTCCGGTACTTCGGCGCAGCCTCCGTTACTGCCTGCAGCCCCTCTGGGTGTCACGTGTGGTCCTGACGTCGCCTGTCCTGTGGTCAAAGCGCCTCCGACGGCTTCGCTGGCATTTCAGTCTCGCGCACCTGTTGAGCATGGAGCTGATACCTTGGAAGCTCCCAATTCGAGTGCTGACTTGGCGCCCTTGCCGTCTGATGAGAATTTGGTATCCCATTTTGGTGTGCCTTCTGTCGTCACCTCGATGTTCGTCGACGACTCTGACGATCTGGTGCGGCAGCATACTTTGCATGAGAAGCTGGCCGCCGCTGGTATCGTTTCTACGGCAATGGCTTTAAGATCTAAGGAGATGCTGACCACCGCCGCCATGGACCGAGCCAGCAAGACACTACGTGAACGGTGCCCTACTCTGCTGTGGGTGACACCCAAGGGTGCAGCGCTGGGCGGCCCTACTCGACATGATCGCCGGCGGAGCTATGCTGTGGCGTCCCTGGCCCAATGTCAGCTGAACTCCGAACGCCCGGTCATAGTCGAAGCCAGTGCCGCATCTTCTGTCTGGGAAGTTGGTGGCTGGGAGCAGATGTGAAACGACTGTCGCCTCAGCCGTCACACTGTCAGGTGGTGCCGATGTGGTATCACGAACTCTGCTTCTGGATTGCCAAGCCGTCGGGTTTCGAAGCTGCTATCCAATCTTGTCCTGTGCGCAGACTACGACACCTGCAACTGTCTTCAACATCATCACTCGCAGAATGGTCAATGCGAAGATGTACGACATGAGCTGCGACAGCTTGTGCAGGTGATATCGGAGTTTGCGTTGAAGCCGATAGTTGGACTCAGTGGACGACCCCTGGAGACGGTGCCAGAGTCTGTTGCAGCAACCAGCGGTGCTAAGGTCCGACAGAACTACCCGACGGAGGCTCGCATCGAGCAAAAGCAGCGCGAGGCTCAATTCGGCAAGAAGACTCTTCCCAAGAAGATGGACGACTACGAGAAGCATTGGGGTGATTGTGGCGATGATCTCAGTTCAATTTTAGTGGATGGTCCAGATCTGTGGCGTGATGACTACAGCTATGATGCATACCGCGTCGCCTGCGTTGACGATGAGGAAGTCGACTTGCAGGCCTTGGAGCATGACGAGGAGGATCTCGCCTCGCTTCGTCCTGCCCTCATATTTCTCCTCGGCCAAGGTTCTGAACATCAGCCTTGGAGGTTCGTGGATTGTTCTGAGCAGGTCTACTACTACGACGATCCGAAGGCGTTGTATTTGGACTGGGTGCTGCCTGCAGATGAGCACTACTACTGCGACGTGTTGGAGATCTGCGGCGGTCAGGAGCGTACCACTCAGATTCTAGTTCGACGCCTGCATCGTGAAGGCTTCCAGCGATGACCATCTTGTGATCTGCGGTGTGGTGTTGATCTCAGTCGCCGTTTTGATTTGCAATGTATATGGCAGTATGTTACGCATTGCCAGCCTGTGGTCATCGTTCCATCTACGCCGTGCACCGGCATGAAGGGCTGGCACCATCTCAACAGAGTTCTGAATTATAGCACCTGGGAGGCTAGCCGTGCCAGGGCTTCTTATCTGGGATCGTGTGGTGCTGAGTTTGCTGGTCACCAACTTGCTGTGGGCAATCACTTACTTAATCAGCAGCCTCTGGGCTCCGATGTCTGCGAGCTCGAAGGTTGGCTTTCGCTGCGTGCGGATCCTCGAGTTGTGTCAGCCGTGTTCCATCAGTGTCAGGTGGGTCTGGTGGAGGGGAAGTCACGGCTGCCGGTGAAGAAGGCTACTGAGCTGATGGCCAGTGACGAACGACTTGTTCGACGCTTTCGCCGACTGCTTTGTCGGGGCCACCGAGCTTGTCAACAACATGCGCATGCTGAAGGAAGTCATGTGACGCGCAAGTTGCAGGTGTGGGCCGCGGCGCATGGCCTCGCTCATTGCCGATGGTATTGCTGACGTCCTTCGAGAGCGTTGGAGATCCAAGCCGCCTAGAGCTCACTGGATGAAGTTCTCCACCGACGAACGTGATGCGGAAGAGATCGGCTGATTCATCAGGAAGTGCAAGACGGGTCATCGCAGGTCCGTCAGGGACTCCGACTGCGCGCCGATGTTGTGCTCCACCAGTGTCTATCGTCACGTTCGCGACAGTAAAGGCACTGACTCCCTCGCCAAGCAGTTGCTGAGTCGGATGGGGAGTTCTGTCTGTGGGCGCGAACGTCCAGAAGAGCGCCGACGGCGAGCGACAGCACCGAGATACAGCATTTTGGCCTTTCCGCTGAGGAATATCACGTGTGCTGCTTGTCTGGGCAGAGCTTCGCAGCATGACCCTCGCCACACACGTGACGATGCCTGTCGGTATCCCCACGCTGCTTCTATGGGCACTGAGTGTCCAGGATGCCTTGCGGGAGCAGTTCGGTCAGACCCTCGACACCTTGATGACCCACGATGTCGCTGGAAGTGGGTGGAGACGCGGGGTAGCGCCGTTGCCCGGGCTCTTGCTGGCCCATCTACTGCGGCTCCGAGAGGCAGGTCTGCTTCTGGCGTTGCGCCTGCTCGAGCCGCTGGAGCACGCGTGCCTGCCCATCGCGACTCGACCGCTGACGATCCTGGTGGCGGCGACCTGTCGCCCCTGGAGGCCGCTGCTGCGGCAGCTTCGTCATCCTCAGCGTCTGCCTCAGCACCTGTTGTGCCTGTGCCGGCGGCCCCAGCACCTGATGCGGCACCAGAGGTGGCGGCCGCGCCGCCGCCGCCGCCGCCTGCGCGACCTCCAGGAGTGGATGCTGCGGTGGGAGCAGGTCCACCGCTGGATGATCCTACCAGAGCGCGGCCACCTGCTGCTCAGCGGAGAGCCCGTGCAGCCAGGTCGGAGGTTGGAGTTCAAGCGAATGCCGAAGGTGCTGACTGGTCTGACTGGTCCATGGGGAGAGCGATTAAGCTGCTGTATAGCAATAATAACATGGCCATCAGAAGGACATTGCGCAAGCTGCATATCAGAATGTAGCATGCGCCGGCGCTGCGTCTCAAGGAGATGCTCATTGCCGCTGGCGCGTCTCAGGAGGCAATCGACTTAGTTCAGATTGTGTGCGATACGTGTCCTGCCTGTCGTGCTTGGCATCGGCCAGGCAAACGGCCTATAGCCACCAGCAGGGTGATCACCGACTTCAATCAAGACGTGCAGATCGACCTGCTGTTCTGGAAGACGAAGATTGTGATGCACATGTTGGGCACTCTTGTGCGTTTCTCGGTCGCGGCCATCATCCCGGACCGCAACACGGGCACCATCATCGGTGCCGTCACGCATTACTGGTTCAGGTTGTTTGGAGCCCCGGCTGTTCTCACCTCGGATCGCGAAGGGGCTCTCGACAGCGACGAGGCCAGGTCTTGGGCTTCGCGCTGGCAGTTCAAGCTGAATCTGCGGCCGAGGGGGGCTCACGCCCGCATGGTAGAACGGCATCATGAGTTGTTGCGTCATCAGTTGCATCTTGTTGATGAACAGTGCACCCGTGATGGCACGCCTGTTCCCGACGAAGCCATCCTGGATGAGTGCGCGCTGGCCAAGAATTGTACGATTTCGATTTCTGGCAACATCACGCCCTATAAGGTTGTGTTTGGTCGCACTATTCCGATGCTCACGGATTTAGAACCCGCTTCTGCCACAGCGTTGGAGGACCAGGACGACGGCATCGACGGCATTTCTCGCCACATACATCGGCTACGCGAGGTGGCTATCGCGGCGGTGGTCGGGGCCTCTGCGCAGCAGCGAATGGATCGTGCACTCCAGTCTCGCACTCGCCCAGCTGGTGAGTGTCAAAACTTGCAGCTGGGCGACCTGGTCGACATCTGGCGCGACCTGCCCGACAAGGATGTTTCGGGCTGGCCAGGCCCGGCCACAGTGGTGAACGTCAATCGCATGCAGGAAGGCGTGGTTGACGCGCAGTGGCAGTCGCGGACGCTCAGTTGCCGATTGGCTGATACACGACACTCTCTCCGCATGGATGTGATGGTTGCCGCAGAACACTACAGGCAGCACTGGGAGTTGCCCTTGACTTTGGTGCCGGAGTTCGCCGAGAGCATCGAGAAGGGATCAGTAATTTTGGCGTGTGTGAACACTTCGACGGGCTGGAAGTTGTCTAGACACTGCGCCAAGTATCCCATCATTTTTCACGCGATGCTGCACGCTGCGTCGTGTGATCTCAGATTGCAAGGCTGCAATGGTGGCCGTCCGGGTCACGGTGCCAAGGATCTCGAGTGCATGCCTTGTGTCGACGAGACGCTGTTTATCTTCTGGAAGGCAGGTCATCCGCTCGATTGGCATTGGCAACCAGTTCTCGGCACAGTGAGGATTTCCCTTCCGACGCTATTCGGAGATGGGTGGCAAAACATGGTTTTCTCGCAGTTCTTTATTGTTGCCTTGGAAGACATCGAGCTTGCTCGGCAGGCTGTTCCTGATGTGCCTCACCTTGGCCGCATGTATGAGCAGGTCGACCCAGACGAGGGCACGTTCCCACCGGGCACTCGTCTTCCGAGAGTTCGTCGACCAAGGAGCGAAGACGAGAACGACGAGCAGCTTAGCAAGGCTCGTCGCAGGGACGAACCTCAGGTCATCGTGTGCCTGGTGACCTCAAGAGACAGCTCTCAATTGGATCGGATGAGACTGGGAATTCTCGACCTCATGTTGCTCCTTGTCTGCCTCATGCTCCTGAGGAGCCTCCTGCTGCAGTTGACGTGCCTGTGGCAGACAGTGACGTGGACACCGATGCCGAAGATGAGGATATTTTCTGGGGTTTTGTCTTCATGGAGAAAGCTTCTCCGTCCGCAGCCCGTGTATATTTCGGCGGCCAAGTTCCAGTTGTCGAGCTCACTCCTGAAGACATTGAGGGGCCTATCAGCATTGAGTTCTCTCGGAGACAAGCTTGGCGGCTGGGGCCCACTCCAGACAAGATTGCTAAGGGTCAAGTATTGGTGATGAACATATTCAAGACCCAGGCTTCGCCAGTTATAGAGCGTGATCTCAACAACCTGTCCGCGGCCGAGATCAGGCAACATCATGATCTGGTGGTTGCGGCGAAGCTGAAGGAGCTGAAGCGTCGGGTTGTCTCGTGGCGTCATAGAGCGCATGACCAAGAAGGATGCTGATAATCGAATCGACTCTGGCCGGGTCATCAAGTGGAAGATCATCAAGGGCAGCCGCGACGTGAAGGGGCGCTTGACCGCGCGCGGCTTCAAAGATCGGCAGAAGAACGAGAAGGATCGCATGAGGACCCCGCGGGAACCGCCTCCCGTTGGGGGCAGAGGGTGATATGCTCCATCGCGGCTCAGCATGGCTGGACCCTGTGGTCGCTCGACGTCTCGATGACGTTCTTGCGCGGCAAGACGTTCGAGGAGCTCGCCGAAACGTTCGGTTTCAATATTCCTCCCGATGGCGCAGCTCTGCTGAAGCAGATCGAGGGCTTCGAGGACTTCAATGAGGTTACGGAAACCCTGAATATGAAGAAGCCAGGTTTCGGTACGAACGACGCTCCGTGGGCTTGGCAAGTGGACCTGTCGGACACTCTCAAGGAGTTGGGTTTCTTCCCGACCGAAGCTGACCGGCAGTTGTGGCTGATGTTCGGCAATGCAGTGCTGGTCGCAGTTCTTGGTACGCATGTGGATGACTTGAAAGGTGCTTGCTGTGATGAGACGCGTGAGTGGATATTCGCCAAATTTCGTGAGAAGTATGAAGACGTGACAGTGAATCTGGCTCCATTCGAATGTGTAGGTATTCGGCATTCCCAGGATGAGGTGAGCAAAGCGATCACGATCGACCAGAATCACTACGTTTCCCAACTTCGTCCGATCAGCAGCACTCTTCTTACTGGTAAGTCTGATGAAGAATTGGTGGATAGCACGCTGCAGGGCCTGTACGGGCGTCTTCTTGGAGGAGTGGCTTGGCTCACTCTCACACGCGCTGATATCGCTGTATTCGTTGGTCGTTTTCAGAGGCACAGTCAGAAGGTCACGGTTGGTGACATCAAAGGTCTCAATACCCTTCTGAAATGGACCAAGAGGAAGCCCTGCAGTATCAAGTATGCGCGGCTGGAGCCGCCTCTGTGTCTCTGTGTGATAGCTGACTCTGCTTATCGTGCTGATGATGCTGACTGTCTGGCTGTTCGTGCCGCCATCTTAGTACTCATTGAGGTTCGAGATGGCATTCCTGGTGGACTGATGCATGTTATTGATTACTATAGTCGGAAGCAGCCGAGAGTCACCCGCAGCACATTCGGGGCCGAGTTGACCAACCAGTTGGAGGCCTGTGAGCTCGGTATGTTGCACCGCGGTTTCTGGCATCAAGTTTTGACGGGGTCTCGTGGTGCGAAGGAGTTGCATGATGCGGTGAACTCGAGTAAGATAGAGACGAGTTTGTATTTAGTCGGTGACGCTCACGCTGTGTTTGCAGCTATTACTGCTGAGGAGATCGCCATGCCCAACGACCGAAGTCAACTGTATGCTGTACGGGCCATGCGAGATCGACTTGACTGTGGTTCTTTGACTGGATTGCTGCGCTGTGACACGAGAGATATGCTGTGTGGTGCTCTTACCAAGGGTGCAGTGGCTCGAGGTGCGATTGTCGACGCTTTCGGTACTGGACAGTGGCGGATGATGATAAAGGACCAGATTCATATATGGCCGGTTGTTTCGCCTGCTGCTTCATTTACTACTATTCGTTGACGATGAGGGATTTGTATCGTGACTATCTTTTTGTGAGCCTCGCCGCTCGGACACATATGCGGTGGGCTTCACGGTGACTGATGCCATGCGCCGTTGCCTGTGTAGGCTTAGCAGCTTGCCTCTTCGAGGTCGGTTGCTGTTTGCGTGGTCCAGCCGGGACTACTGAGCTGACATTTTGGGGTGATGCTGTGATTGCTCGTGGACGACCGCTCTGGCATCACGTCTGCGAGCATGGTGCTTCTCCGACGATACTTGCGAGTTGGAGATGGTGCCAGAGTCAAAGTGCATATGCAGCGTCCCCCTCTGAGCCTCTCCGTTCCGTGGCCGCCTGTGCTCAAGGCGGCCAGCCAGTTCTTTCATTGCTTGTACTGATGATGAGATTGGCGCCGCTGCGCCCGCTGGAAAAGGTTGTCTTCCTTGTCCGTGCTGCGTGGCTGACGCCGATCCGCTCATTCGACCCCTAGAACGTAACGCCTCTCGCCCCCCAGTGCGCTCCGGGCACTGCCGCCGTGCGCACGGCGGGGGGGAGGCGTTACATTATACCCCCCCTGGCCCAGACTCTCCGAGGGCCTCTCTGGGCCTCCCAGATGGGGTCGGAGCACATGGGGTCGGAGGATCGCGCCGCATCGGCGATGCAGCGGCAATGCATCGGCGATGCATCTGCGATGCATCGGCGATGCGGCTCGATGTGGGGCCCACTTTTCTCCACACCGACGTCCCCGATGCATCGCCGACCTCGCCAGTGCATGGCCGACCCCATCTATTCCGACCCAATCTAGGAGGCCTCGAGCCTCGGAGGAGCTCGGTAGCCAGTCATGGGAGCCTGGTGTACCCTCTGAAGTCCGTCTTTAGCGTCGACTGGCGTCGATGAGCGTCTGGGAGTCGATGAGATAGGGCCGATTCAGCGTCGGCTATCGTCGATTAGCGTCCCTTTAGCGTCGATTAGCGTCGATTCGCAAGAGCCGACAGAATGCGATGGGAGGCCCCCATGAGTTGCCACCGAAGAGGAGAAGACCGGACGGTGCCATGACGCGGATCGATTCGTTTCAGAGCGTTCCGGGACGCTCCCAGAGCATTGTGGAACGATCAGAGAAGGCTGCGGCGCTCGAGGCATCTCCTAGAGCCGCCGGATATGAGAGATTCCCGATTTATCCTCACTGGATTTTATCCTCGTCCTACTACGCCTTAGGGAAGGGTACCAGTGCTGCTGCCCTCCCGCAGTTTTCGTGGTTTCGGGCCTCCGGGCAAGCCCTCGTTGCCACGGCCAGATTCGCTTCGAAAGTATGATCAGAGCGCACCCCAGGACAGGCCCGGCCCGATTGCGGTGTCTGTATCTGTGTGTATCTCCGTGATCTGAGCTGTCCTCCCC